TCTGTGGACACACTACGCGATTTTTCATGCAATCGAGCCGGCCGGCTCAGTCGGGCGACTCTGTGGACACACTACGCGACTGAGTCGGGCGACTCTGTGGATTTTCAGCACGCTGATTGGCTGATGAATTGTACAATCGGCCGGCTCAATCGCAGATCCGGGCACACTAGGCGATTGCAGCCAGCCGGCTCAAATAATTATCAAACATGTTTGAATCGGGTGACTCGGCCGGCCGACTCGAAAATCGATGCGACTCACTGGACACACTACGCAATTTTTCATGCGAACGAGCCGGCCGTTTGGCTGGCTCGATCGCATGAAAAATCGCCTAGTGTGTCCACCCCTTAAGGCAATCATTATCACAGTAGAAGTCCAAAAACCCGGACTGCTCGGAGGCGGAATAATGAAGAGATGAATAGGTAAAATTTGATAGTTTATTCATTAGCAAATATAGCATGCTTCCTTTATCAAAACGAGTAATTTTAAAGTAAAATAAACTCGACAACAAAAATTTTCACTACAAAAGATGGGCATGTAATGCTTGAAATCATGTTTAAAAATGAATATTGTAAAAGAAAAATACAGTAAACAAATGAAAGCAGAAGTTATTTTTTGCAAATTAGTATGTATTTTTAGCTCATCTGACGAAGTCAGATGCAGCTTGTAGCATCGCATGGTCGTGCGTGCGTGCGTCCGTCAACAGTTGGGCACAAAGCTAAACGGCTCTACGTACAGCTAAACGGACCACTTGACGCGATTTTTCATGCGATCGAGCCGGGCGGCCTCCACCCCGAGTAACCGATTGTAACCGATCATCGGTTACTTGGGTCCAACCGATGATCGATTACGAAATTACAACCGATTGACAACACTAATATTAGGCATGCCGGTGTTGTGTCAGGTACATAGCTGGTTTAGGTTTGTCCTGTCAGATTCATTATTGTAATTCAATGTGAAGTGAGATACTTCGTTATTGTCTTCCGGTGCTCCTTTTATTTTTAACTGTGTAGACGATGTGGTATATAAGTAATTACGAATCTCACTTTACAGCTACGTAGAGTCTTTGTTTGGAGCTGATGGCAAAGTGATTATCCACACAGTTGTCTTCTGCTGTGAGCTAATGTACGTTCATACTGCCTGATCATCAGTCTCTCCTTGAAATTTGCAGGTCGTAGCCAAGAAATGGCCTGATAACTTTGACCGCATGCGTCGCATGTCGATGGTGGAGGAAGAAGGAGAAAAGAGAATCAACATGGCCCATCTCAGCATTGTGGGCGCACACGCCGTTAACGGTGTCGCCGCTCTGCACTCTGAAATCCTCAAGGCTTCCCTGTAAGTCGAATACTGCATACGCCTTATTTTTCGCATACAGATATTTTCGCGAATTCAGACTTGACGGACAATTTCGCGAGTGGTTAATTTCGCGGTCGGTGAATTCCCCAATCAGTGAAGAACAGCGTGTTGTTGTTTTCGCTGGTCAGTGACGCGGCAAAAATTAAACCACCGCGAAATATACAGCATACACAGTAGTCATTGTCACCTTATGTACGGCACCATCACATGCAGGCTTTTAATCGATTGTGCGTAGTGTGGATAGCAGGGGTTAGGCAAGAACGTTCCGGCTTATGAGTGACATTCCATTCATTATTTAAAAATCATGAACGGAACCTTTGAACCATGGCTAGCACACCTCACGAGGGCATGAAACTAATGCTGAGTTCTGAGGTCCAGAATGAAATCAACATGAGAATGAAATCTTGGAACCAATAAGGTTAGTAACTTTAAACGCTCCCTGTACGTGATTTTGCTGTACACAGATTCAAGGATTTCTATGAGCTGTGGCCGGAGCGCTTCCAGAACAAGACTAACGGCATCACACCACGCCGCTGGCTGCTGCTATGTAACCCAACCCTGTCCGACGTCATCGCTGAGGTGAGAAATAATCGCACACCACCATTGTAGCTACGCCGGTCGGTAATAGCCGGCTCTGGTGTTGGCCGACCGGCACGCAGCTTTAAATCACATCCTTCTGACCGTCACAAAAATGACTGAGTTTGTGTAAAATTACCTTCAAAATAATGAGCAATCTATAAATAATGACAACTGATACACTTAGAATTAATTTAAAAGACAACTATGTGTAAAATCATCATCATCCCTTAAACAGGTCCCTGGACCCCCGGCCGTGAACCGCTGCGCTCCGTTCGCTCCGCTCACTACGCTCGCAATCACTGATATTAGCCGGCAGTAAAATTGTCCTGTTTACAACTCTGTCACACTACAGCGACTCACATCAGTGTTAACTTACTCAATACCGTTAATAATTGCCTCAATAATGCACTGGTAAAGAAATCACTGGGTTGTTCCGCACGCCGCAGAGCTACTGTAATGTGTGCGTAACCATTATATCCATGACAGTTGTTTTGTTATATGTGAAATCGTAAGTAAATGATACTAGGGAGGTATGACTGTGAATGCGATGCACAATGGTACCCACATTAAATCCTCAGTAAAACGAAAACATTTGCTTATACTAGCATTTGTATAACTATGAGTTATTAACCATAACTTAAGTGTGCACTGAAACATTAAGTTAAACTTCCAGGAACCCTCAGCTTTAATTTTTTCCCCTGTAAATAATCACAATCCAGACAGAGAGACTCACTATAGGGGGAACGGTAATGCTTCGCTAAACAAACCAAACAAACAAACCGTCTGTCATATCATAAAGCTGTGGACACACTACGCGATTTTTCATGCGATCGAGCCGGCCGGCTCAGTCGGGCGACTCTGTGGACACACTACGCGATTTTTCATGCGATCGAGCCGGGCGGCTCAGTCG